TTTTGAAAGGTATTCATTTGCAGCGGCATATAAAAATGTTAATAATTCTTTCACCTATGTTCGTGAACATTTTATTAATTTCTTAATTGCTCGAGTCCAGCACGCACACACGCGCACTGTATGCAAAAGAGAATCAACTGATCAGCTGCCGTATTCCAGAGGCGACAATAACACGCTTTAGATAATTAGATGCCTACAGACTCACTCAAAAAAAGCAATTCTGGGGGTCAGACTGTTGAGCTAAAAAAAAAAAAAAAGCCAGAAACAACCAGTTGCCTTAAATTGGAGCTTCCCGCAGGCTTTCGCGGTGAGCGAGGACTGGGGAAAGCGCAGTTTTCGCGGGAGGTGGGGGCCGGGATCCCGACACCTTCCACCGCTTCCCAAAAGGGTCCTGCAGGGCTCGCTCCCGCGGAGACCCGCACGAGCCGGCGAAAGCCGGAGGTGAGCGCCGAGGGCAAAGGGAACGCCGAGCGCGCCCACAAAGCGCCCAGGGCCGCCCCTCTCCAAGGAGAGGCAGCTCTCGCCGCGGGCAGATGGAGCGGCAGGACGCAAGCAGTGGCGGGCCCGCGCAGAGGAGAACCCGGATCGCCAGGCCACATCCCCCTCGGCCCGCAGCCCGCGCCGCCTGCCTCCTGCTGCAGGGGCCGGGCGGGCCTGCCTCAGCTGCAGCTCTGTCCACGCGGCCCCTGCATTGCTGGGAGTGGTCGGCCATGCCTGACAGCTGCTCCCGTCATCCGCACGGGTCCCGGGAAGGGCTCAGCAACGTTTCTTAGGGATCTGTCTGGACGGAATCACAGGATGGTTCAGGGAGGCGGCTTGAAATTGTGGCTCTGGAAGCGTGGCTACTTCCACGCTTCTGCTGATCTCGTACTCTCGCGATGGTTCTCTGATGCCGCAGCTGACAGCTTGAGCTGCTGAAGGCACTCCAGAGCATTCAAAGGACATCTAGTCTTTCTGTGAGGCCAAGCGCAAGTGGGAAATACAGCGAGCCATCTCTGTTGCTTCCTGTAACGGCTCGAGGACGCTTTTGATTCTTCCAGATAGTTGCACTCAGTGATCATGAGAGCTGAGTGCCACCAGCCTATAGCCAGGACGCCCCAGGGACGCTGCAGCTGGTGTCTGCAGCTCCTGCCCCCCCCTCCGCACGCAGGCCTGAGGCCACGTTCCCACTCCTCACTGGGCCCGCTGGTGCCCACAGCTGCTTCAGCTTTCTCCCGGGGCGCGTAGCCTTGCGCTCGTGGCTTGGCTTCTGCATGCTTTCAGAATTCTTGCTGTTCTCTTGATGACTCAGGCTTCGTTCTAGAGCTTTCGTTTTATACTTTCCAAAGTAGGTGCCGTGGGTTAGCCTGGATCAGACCGCTTTCATTTGAATCATCTGGTCACCTTCAGTTAGTGAGATGCAGTGAAATAAAAGTACAGAGAAATACAGTTCGAAGAAAGACCTCTGTTTGCTGGTGACCCGCGTTGCCTGCGCGGCTGTCACGATCACTGGGCGCTTTTGTCGGTCTCGGCAGCATCCAGGCTGCGGCAGGCGGCCGACGTTGCTGTTTGCTTTCTCGCAGGTTTCGGCCTATTAAAGGAAGACAAGAGGAGCTGAAGGAAGTCATTGAACGTTTTAAGAAAGATGAGCACTTGGAGAAGGCTTTTAAATGTCTGACTTCTGGCGAATGGGCCCGACACTATTTTCTGAACAAGAACAAAATGCAGGAGAAATTATTCAAGGAACATGTAGGTTTAAGATTAAAACTATTTTCCATCGGGACGAGAGTGAAGGGAACGAAAGCCTGAATTTTAGTGACACTGAAACTCTAATTAGCTTTTATAAAACCAGTCAGCATGAAGATCTGAATGACGTACGAGGGTCTGTGTGGCCAGCGCGATACCTGGTCACCTGAGTGAGACTTGCAGGGGCTCACGGCTAACAGGGCCAAGCTGGGGGGCCTCTGTGGTCGTAAATGGCGGCGGTGGCTGGCTTATAACTCTGAGGACGTCTAACAGGGTAATCAGTTTAGCACAAGTTAATAGAATTTTCTTCTTTGCTTTTAGGTATTTATTTACTTGCGGATGTTTGCAACTGACAGTGGGTTTGAAATACTGCCCTGTAACAGATACTCGTCAGAGCAAAACGGAGCCAAGATCGTCGCAACAAAAGAGTGGTAACTGTCAACGCTAACGTGAGCCATAAAGCGCTTTTCGGGTCTCTTAAATTACAGCTTACGTGCTAAGGAAGCTGTGGGGAGGAATGAAAGGGTGCTCCCCGGAAGGAGCAGGGCCGCTCTGGGCCTGGGGTCAGGACAGGAGGCTAGCGGGGGGGGGCCACCCTCAGCCGGCTCCACTGCTGCTGCTGCTGACGGCCAGCGGCTGCGCTCAGGGCCGGGGCAGCTGTCCGTCTCCGGAGCCCTCTTCCCTGGCCCGGGAGCAAGGCGGGTGTGAAGTCTGATGCGAGGATCTCTCGGGCGGCAGCTCTTCCTGTGCGTTGCCAGCAGGAAGAGTAAGTTCATGGGTAGCTGGGCCCGCTGGAATAAAAGCTGGGCCTGCTGGGAAGGTGACCCCCATCACCCCCAGGAATTTTTGTAGTAAAAATTTTGGAGTCAGGTAGTAGAAAGTGGCTCAGCCCAGGCCTCTTGTATGGAGGTGCACGGGCAGCTCTCCGGCTGCCCTCAGCGCCTGGCCCCGTGCTGGGGAGGCCTCTGGGGCAGCCGCGTGGCTGCTGGGCCCTGCGGCGGCGTGCTGGCTCGGTGGGGCTGCGAGCCAGACTCAGAGTCCAGGCTGTCGTTGACCGGCCTTGGACCTGCCGACAGCATCCTGGTTACACCAGGTTGAAGTTCGGTGTTAACCGACTTGGCCTGTCCCTGCTCGCCCAGTGTGGCCACCAGTGATCGGCGGTTGGCGCGTCACGTTTCCGTCGTGGGGGCATCCCAGGTCTGGCCCCTGAACCTTCACTGCCCCTGGTCTGCCCCAGGGTCGCGTGTTGAGTTCCGTGTGGTGGGTGTCGTGTCCTCCCCAGGGACACAGCACCGCGGAGGGGCAGGGCTCTGGCGGGGCGGGGCAGCCACGCAGGCCACAGCGCAGGTGCGCTTCCAGGGAGGACGGCCCTCCTCCTGCCCGGTGTTTCTCGGACAGGCTTTATTTGATTAAAAGAAGCCTTGTTATTTATAATTACTAGTAATTTTTAACACATCACATATTTTAAATAGGAAACGAAATGACAAAATAGAATTACTGGTGGGTTGTATTGCCGAACTTTCAGAAATTGAGGAGAACATGCTACTTAGACATGGAGAAAACGACTTCAGTGTCATGTATTCCACAAGGAAGAACTGTGCTCAGCTCTGGCTCGGTCCCGCCGCGTTTATAAACCATGGTAAGCTCTGTTTTTGCGGTGTCGGCCTGGCGTCGGGCAGGGCTCCGTTAGAGTGCGTGAGCCTGAGTCACGACTGCTGAGAGTAAGGCGCCTCTCGTCTAACGTGAGACCTGGCCGTCTGTCAGGCGCTGTGGAAGTGTATGGACGCTTATTTCCGGTTTCTGTAATTGTTCGTGTTTCAGATCTTATCTGCAGTTAATTGACTTTGTCTTTTGGACATTTTTCAGATTGCAGACCCAACTGCAAGGTAAGCACGAGCTCTCTGTGTCGCTGTGTGTTGTCTCTGCTTGCAGTGTGCGTTTCTCACCGAGGCGCTTTATTTCAGTTTGTGTCCACTGGCCGAGACACCGCGTGTGTGAAGGCCCTGAGAGACATTGAACCTGGAGAAGAAATCTCTTGTTACTATGGAGATGGATTTTTTGGGGAAAATAATGAATTCTGCGAGTGTTACACTTGTGAAAGGTAAGTACGAGTGAGGGGGCAGTGGCCCGCGCCCCTCCGCCTGCTTCCGGGGCGGGCGGGCTCAGGCGCCCCGGCACCCGGCGGGCGCAGGGCTGCTGGGGCTCCCACGCCTTTGGAGCCTCGCTGCCCGCTGTGTCCTCAGTGAGTCAGGAAGCTGAGGTGCTTAGAGAGGACGGCAGTGCCCGAGGGGCCGCCCCTGTGGCCAGCAACGTCCGCACTGTTGGCCCCGGGGTGCCGCGTGTATTTCTGAGCTGTGTCTTCCGGAACTTCTGCGTTTGAGAAACAGACTTCTTAGTTCTTGAGTTCTGGCACTTAGTGAGAAACCCTTTGACGACCCATCGATGTTCTGGAGGCCTTGCGGGGACCCCGGCCGCCTTCGCAGGTGCGGACTCAGGCGGACCGTTGCAGTGACGTCTGCCCCCAGCCTCGCCTCAGTGCCGGCTGCTCCGTCATGGGCGCGGCCCACAGGCCGTGGGGCAGAGCCCTGTCCTGTGCCTGCTGCTGTGCAGGCTCTGGGGGCCCGGCCCCGGCCCCCCGAGAGCACGAGCGATGCCCCCACGCGCAGCCGACCCGGAGCTCCCCACTTGTGGAGCTCGGCAGAGCGCAGAGGCCGTGCGGCAGCACAGCCCCTAGTCGCAGCGGCCAGGGCCCCGCACACGCCGCAGGGCCCCTTCCCCCGTGGCTGCCGCATCCTGACCCTTGACTCGCGCTTGGAGCTAAAATTTATCTTTGTTGTTTATTTTTTTCTACGTTGAAAAAATGGTTAAATCCGAGACTGGTCTGTACCCGTGAAGTGTAACTGTGGAGTGGTGCTTTAAAGTCACTGCAGAATGACAGTGTCACGGCGGGGTGGCGCCAGCTGGCCTGAGGGGCCTCCGGGACGGCGCCCACAGCACTGGGCTGCCGGAGCCCCCAGGCCCTGTCAGGAAAGCGGGGCGTAGACAGTCGGTGCAGACGCTCCCTCGACATCACCTGTGCTTTCTGGTCACTTCCCCGTTTGAAAATGCCCCGGCATGATGGCGATTTCTGTTGTTCTCATCTGCTTCCTGCTCTGTCCCTGGAGCGGGCCCTGGCCACGACTGGGCACGTGATCGGCATGCATGCCGAAGGCGTGACGGGAGGCAGGCTCCAGACCAGCCGGGACAGGCACCCGCTGCAGAGCCCCTGGGGGCGAGGTCCCTGGCGGGCAGCTCGCCCGTGAACCCACCTAGCGCCGGCCGGGAGGGCCCATGGGAGGAGGGGCTCGCGCAAGCCTGGACTGGGCCTGCTGTGGCCGCTGCCGGCCCTTTGGCCGTGCGAGGGTTGACTGCTGGCACCCGAGGTCTCGGGGGCACTTCGTTGCCAAAGCCGGGAGTCGGCGAGGCCTGTGGGGTCCTGCGATTCACCGTGTTGACTGAACGGCGCCTTTAGTGCGGCCTGTGTGAGCAGTCCGAGCACGGGGGTGCGAGTGGGGGCTGCGTTCACGGCGGCCGAGGCTGGGCCACGTCCGTGAGTGACTGGGAAACTTGAGGACTGGAGTCTCTTAAGGAAGGGCCAAATTATCGAAGGCTTCTCTGAACGCGTGTCTGCTGATAACCGGGAAAAAGTCTCACGGACAGTCGGTGGGCCCTGGCTGTAACGGACGAGAGCGCCTGAAACGGGGTGATCACCACTTGATGCTGCTGGCCCAGCTTCAGACAGATAGGGACGGGGTCGTGAGTGGCCGCGGCCTCCACGCCGGCGGGCGTGCATGGTGACCCAGGCTGCCCGCCACGTGCCACAAAGGAGTGTAGGTGGCCACATGCCCACGATGTTAACATACGCAGAGCTACTAGACGAAACCCAAGCACATCTGGCCTTGACAGACCCAGCAGAGAGCTTCTGGAGGAGTGAGGCGAGACCAGTGAGCTTAGAGTTGCTGGCGTGTGGCAGAGGCAGCCGGCAGGCGGGCGCCCGGCGGAGCTTGTGCCGTGGCAGGAAGCCCCATGCGGCAGGAGGGTGGAGGCCACCTGGGCACACGGGCCCTGGGGCCTTGAGCAGGGCCCAGCCTGGGTCACCTGAGAATGCGCATGCCCTTGGGCCTGGCAGCGGACCAGGGGAAGAGCTGTCCTGTGGAAGTGGGCCCCAGCTGGTGGGTTTGGGTACAAGAGCAGCGTGGCAGCGTCTGAGGGCACAGACAACCCCACACGGGCGGTGGCCACGGGGCCGTGTACCCATGTGAACACCGACTGCGCTCAGTCCTGCATGACTGTTCGTGACGTGGCGCGAGAGCTGGCGGCTGAATAGTGGCCAGTGTCTTAGACCTTGGCTGGGCATGGGCTGCCCCCCGAGGCCAGGTCGGGGCAGCAGGGCGCTGGCCGGGGCCCGTCCAGCCTCTCGCCTTCCGGAGAGCCAGCGGCTGCCGTGCAGAGAAGTGATGAGGAGTTTAAAGACCTGTCGTTTCCGGATGAGGTGGCCCCACTGTGGTCATTTACTTTGTGTCTAAACTTCACTCGTGGCTCTTTCTAGAAACAAGTTGTAAGTTATGGTAAACCAGCGTGGAGTGGTGGGAAGGAATGATCACTGTCTCAGTCCACACAAATCTGAAGTAGCCTTTGAGAACTTGCCCTGTGGGTGTATTTTAGGGGGGAGGGCAGCTGTGACTGGCACCCTGGAGCATCGTCCTGGGGCTCGTCTCAGGGGTGTCCTGATACAGCTTTAGAAAACCACATCAGGAGGGCCCGTGGTGGGTGTGGGTGTCCTTACAGAGGCGTCGGTCGGCAAAGGCAGTGCCCACAGCCAGCTGGCACGGTGACAGCGCGAGACGCCGTGGTGCCGGGCGCTGGCGGAGGCGCGTGCTCCCAGCGCCAGGAGGCGCAGGCGCCAGGAGGCGCAGGCGAGCGGGCAGCGGCGCGCTCTTGCTGAGGAAGGCCGGGGAGGCTGGCGCTTCGGGAGAGAAGTTCTTTCCAGGCGCCGCGTCTCCACCCGGGTCCGGGGCCTTCGTGTGCCCGGGCCGGAGGCCAGCAGCGCCGTTGCGGCCAGACCTCTCCCCGGTCCTCTTCTGAGACCACACTGGTAGCCGACTGTGCTGTGGCGCGGACAGGCGCGTGGGGCTTGGGCGACGCAGGGGACGGCGAGACCTCGGGGCGAGGCCGGCGCGGGGACGCCTGGGAGTGCAGGCGTGCGGCCCGTCGCAGCGCCCTCGCCCAGCGCTCAAAGCAGCTGCCGCGTCGTCTTCGGGGTGACGCCTGGGTGACCGCTTACAGTCGCTCGCTGCCTGTCGGCAGCGTGAAGGGGTCTTTGACAGGCTCTCTGGCTCCAGACAGCAGATTCTCTCGCACAGCTCCAGTCAGGATTTGTGTCCAAATTTGTAGACGTTCTCTGCTCCGTTCTGTTTCAGTTTCTCAGCGTTCAGTAACGG